GTTGCCGTATGACCTTCGGTGAGTCAGGCTATCTCTGTGAGCCTCAGGTTCGTTGTTTATAAAGTGAGAGAGGGGCCCAGAGCCAAAGTCAGGGTGAGATTGGGTGGAGCCAAGCTAATTACTCTGGTCCTTTCACAACTCACAGCCCTGCTGTAACTGGGATGCAAAGAAGGGGGAGTATATATTTCCGGCCAAGAAGAAGCTGCAGGAATATCGAGTCTTAGTTACCACCCTCATCACTGCCAGCAGGTGGGGAGTGTGTCTCTTAATTTTAAGTATAAGTAAAGGGTAGAGTAGTGACTTTCAGCCGGGGTGCTGCGGTTTTTAAAGATGAAATTATTTTCAAAAGAAGCGCAAAGCACAGTAAATACATTCCATTTTTACTTTTTTTTTTAAATCAACATAATTTAAGTGTGCCGTGGAAGTTTAAGTTTAGGTTCAAGTGTGTTGTGAGATAAAAAAAGGTTGGAAAACACTGGGGTGGAGGGCTGGGGAGATGGGGAAGGATGGTTCCTAGATGGTAAGGGGCCAGCTTGGGTGAGCATTCAGGTTTGGTTGTTGGGTATTCCTGCATATGACCCCTTCCTGGCCTAACACCTCCCAGGTTGGTCTCAGCCCAGTTTCCCATCGACCACTTCACACACATCTTCATCGATGAGGCTGGCCACTGCATGGAGCCTGAGAGTCTGGTGGCCATAGCAGGTGAGGGACATGGGTGGGCTGTAGGTGTACCACCCTCTGGTTGGGGAGGATCCGCTGCTGACCTCTCTGCCCACGCCATCCCTGCTTCCCAGGGCTCATGGAAGTAAAGGAAACAGGCAATCCAGGAGGGCAGCTGGTGCTGGCAGGAGACCCTCGGCAGCTGGGGCCTGTGCTGCGTTCCCCACTAGCCCAGAAGCATGGGCTGGGGTACTCACTGCTGGAGCGGCTGCTCACCTACAATGCCCTGTACAAGAAGGGCGCCGATGGTTATGACCCCCAGTTTATAACCAAGCTGCTACGCAACTACAGGTATCCCGCACCCTTGCTTCTCCTGCTAGCCCATGCCCTCACACCTTCCGTGCAGCCCCAGCTGGCAGATCTGGCTTGCAGTCCTGTTGCTCAGAGGCTGTGGGAAGCAGAAAGACTCTAAACAGGAAGGTAGGAAGTCTCCTTTTTAGCCTCATCACTGCTGCTTACTGTCTGTGGGACTAAGCAGGTGGTTTCACTCTGGATCAGCTGGTTATCTGTATATGTGGGGGTGATCAGTGGTGATGGTCGTCAGGCTGTTACTAAGGTCAATAAATATTAGCCGTTGTGGTGTTGTTTATGCTATTTTTGGATTTAACACATTGTCTCATCAAATAAGTGAAAGTAGAGGATAATTTGTTTTTGTACTGTCCTTCCTCAGCAAATTTGAAACCTGAGAATAGGTCCCTAATTTTTTTCTTTTTTTTTTTTAATAGAGATGAGGGTCTCACTATGTTGCCCTGGGTGGTCTCAAACCCCTGGCATCAAGCAGTCCTCCTGCCTCAGCCTTTCAAAGTGCTAGAAGCACAGGCATGAGCCACTGCTCTCAGCTGCCCTCATTTTTTAGTTTTTGTTTAAAAAATTTGGTCTGTTAAATCCTTGGACAAGATACTCTTTGCAGCTGCATTTGGTTCTACTTGCTGTGGTTTACAGTGCCTGGCAGTTGACACTGGATGAACGTGTCCTGCCATCCAGGGAGGAGGCAGGAGGATAATGTGTGTCAGCCCAGAATGGGTATGTGTGGGGTCCCTGGGGGCGGGAGGGCAGAAGTAATCTGACCCTTGGTCTTGCTCTTGATCCTCCTGCCTCTCAGGTCTCATCCCACCATCCTGAACATTCCTAACCGCCTATATTATGAAGGGGAGCTACAGGCCTGTGCTGATGTCGTTGATCGAGAGCGCTTCTGCCGCTGGGAGGGTCTGCCTCGACAGGTGAGCTTGAGCAGGGCAGGGGCTCAGGCTCCCACCCCTGTATCCCAACCTCCATCTTCAGAAGGTGCAGGGCAGGAGGAATGCTTTGATTGGAAACCATGGCTCCTCCCTGGTCACCTTGGCCTGGGCTCCCTTATTCTCTGGAAGTGTTTGAAGGTAGGAAGGGAGGCAGGGATGTCCACTGAGGGTTTCCCTTGACCCCATGTCCAGGGCTTTCCCATCATCTTTCATGGCGTAATGGGCAAGGATGAGCGTGAGGGCAACAGCCCATCCTTCTTCAATCCTGAAGAGGCCGCCACAGTGACTTCCTATCTGAAGCTGCTCCTGGCCCCATCCTCCAAGAAGGGGAAAGCCCGCCTGAGCCCCCGAAGCGTGGGCATCATCTCCCCATACCGGAAGCAGGTCAGGCCCTCAGTTCCCAGAACGGATGGGACCCTCTTCCTGCAGGTGGTACCTCCTTAATATCCAGACCACTAGGCAGAGGTTTCAGGAGCTCAGGCCTTCGCTGGCCCCATATCTCAGAAAGGCAGAGGTTACTGCCCCCTCCCTTTGTTGCCCAGCTTCCTGCCAGTGGCCTTACATTGGGGTAATGGCATGATAGAAAGGCACCTGTTCCCTCCTTCTAGGTGGAAAAAATCCGTTATTGCATCACCAAACTTGACAGGGAGCTTCGGGGCCTGGATGACATCAAGGACTTAAAGGTGACACACTGTTCCACATTTGCTCCCTGGCTTCTGTTTACCCCCACTGACTTCCTCAGGCTTCATCCAGGCCATGTTCCATCCCATCCACTTCTGGAACTGGGGCTGTCCCCAAGCCTCATTCCTGGAGATTACAAGTTAAGGGGTCTGGGATGGGATCAGGAAGTCTGCATGTTTAAATTATGCCTCACCGGCATGCTTATAACCAGGCAGGTTTGAGGCCTCTGCCCTAAGGATAAAGTCCAAACTCCATGGCTTATGGGGCCTGTCATGTGATACTGTCACCCCTGCCCCCACCTCCACTCTCAGTAGCTAGACTCTCTGATGTCCTGGTTCTTGAACTGGCTGCAGATCAAAATCACCTGGCCAGCTTTTACACCCTCCCATGCTAGGACCCCACCTGGTCATTAATGCAGCTCCCTAGGGACAGGGAGTCAGTTTTTTTTTTTTTTTTTACAGCTCTTCAGGTGAATCTAATGTGCAGCCAGTGATGAAAACCACTGCTTTAAGATTTAGAGGGCTCTGCCTTGGAAATTCTGATCAGGAGGTCTGGGTTAGGGCCTAGGATTTATACAATATACTTCTTAACAAATATTAGTGGTTATTTTCAGGAAAGTTCGAAAAACAGTGCTGTGAGTTACTGTGTTTTTGCCACGCTGTTTTCTTTGCTCAGAACATTTTCCAGGTTCACCCCTTAACTGGATCCATCCTTCAGGTTTCCTTCCTCGGCATACCTCCTGTCCTCCCGTCCTGGCTGCTGCCACAGCGGGCACTGACTCTGCTCATGTGCACTTTTGCGATGACTTCTCTGTACCTTCCTTGCAACTCAAGCTCCCTGGGATAGGACATGTCCCTCCCTTTGACACCCCTTGTCTCAAGCCTTGCCTCTCCCTTCTAGGTGGGCTCTGTGGAAGAATTCCAAGGCCAAGAACGAAGTGTCATCCTTATCTCCACCGTGAGAAGCAGCCAGAGCTTTGTGCAGCTGGACCTGGACTTTAATCTGGGTTTCCTTAAGAACCCCAAGGTTTGAGGGCTGGTGGGTGGCAGGAGTTCTTCCTTAGGCCCTTCCCTTCTGTGACCCCACCCTTTCTTCCTTCCAGAGGTTCAACGTAGCTGTGACCCGGGCCAAAGCCTTGCTCATTGTAGTGGGCAACCCCCTTCTCCTGGGCCATGACCCGGACTGGAAAGTGTGAGCATTCCCACCATGACCCCTCTTGGTAACCACAACCCCCAGCCTAGAGATATATATTTATTAAATACCTACGTAGGTTTTAATTAATCCTCAGATCTGGTTATCTTCACAACACCTCTTGTGTTAACTCTAAGTTAACAGACATTGGAGGCTAAGCAAGTACACCCTAGGAGTACAGGAGTACAGGACTCAGGCTGATACTCCTCTGTATCCCACAGATTCTTGGAGTTCTGTAGAGAAAATGGGGGGTATACCGGGTGCCCCTTCCCTGCCAAACTGGACCTGCAGCAGGGACAGAATTTGCTCCAAGGTCTGAGCAAGCTCAGCCCCCCTACCTCAGGTATGGCTGGGGTGGGGCGGGGCGGGGTGGGGGCGGGGCAGTGCTGGAGGAGGAGAGGAAGCAGCAGCAGCACACCTTTTTCCTTTTTAGGGCCCCACAATCACGGATGCCTCCCCCAGGAGCGGGAAGGTGAAGGGGGCCTGTCCCTGCAAGTGGAGCCAGAATGGAGGAATGAGCTCTGAGGACACAGCAACCCGCCTTCTCACACCAGCCAAGCCTTAACTGCTCTCCTGACCCTGAACCCCAGCCCTGTCTGAACCCAAATCCAGCCAAGCTGCCCCTCCAAGGGACAGGAATGCTGGGGGTGGGAGCCTGCAATAGTAGGCATTCCACCCCCTCCCCTACTGAAAAGAATGACACATCAAGCTGCTAACTATGGGGGAAGGGGGAGGAAGAAAAACTCTGAAAACAAAATGCTTTTCTATGCAAAAGCCGTGATAATGTCTTCTCAGACTGGCCCCAGGTTCCTGAGCCCCCAAGCTGACGCTGCTTAGGAGGGTGGGACAGTCACATCCTGCTCAGGGTCCTGCCTACTCCCAGCCAGAGAGAAACCCAGCCCCCACATCCAGGGAGGAAACCCAGTGGGAGGTGCAGGGAAGCCACCCACAGGTTTCTAAGTTTAGTCCCAGCTACAGACCACTCCCCTCACCCGCCTCCTAGGCCCGGAGCCAGGCATGACCTCATCCTCTGCTCTTAAGACTCCACCCTGCTGGCCCTGAGTCCTGGCTTTACAGATAGGGGCCTGGCCAGCAACTTGGAAATGAAGGGAGATGGGACTCCAGGCTTGCAGCCAAGATGGGGAGAGAGACAGGAAGCTGCCACACACGTGCTGGAACCTGTGGTCTTTATTCATGCCCCTCACCAAGTGCAGTCAGAGCCAAGGCCCCTGCCCAAAGCAAAAACCCCAGGGGCCTGGGACTCTGGGTCATGCCAAGTCCCCTGTCTTAGGCACTCTCCTGTGAGCCAGAAATGTATAAAGTGCTGGTGTGTGACCATCCTTTGGGAAGGTCAGGGCATAAGCCTGGGTCCCCAGAGGACTGGGTGAAGCTATACTGCCACCACCACCACCTTGGGGCTGAGGATATATTTGATGCAGTCCTGGGCAGGAGGGAACGGAGTCCTAAGGGAGAAAGGGAGGCTGGGTAATTTTTGCACCCCTGTAAATAAGAGTGGGGCATGTAAGAGGCCCTGCGGATCTCAGAGGATGGGACAACCTCTCCGGCGTTTATTCTTGCGGACCTGGAGTCCAGCCCGAGTAGCCATCTCAAATACCTCCCGCACCCCCTCCTTGGTCTTGGCAGAGCATTCAAGGTAGCCAAAGGCACTGATCCGGTTTGCCATGTCCCGGCCTTCCTCAGACCGAACGGGCTCCTGAAGAGACAGAAGAGGAGGGATCAGAAGAAACTCGTGTACCTGTCCCCACCTCACCTGTAACTGTAGAAATTAGAACAAATACCTCCAACCCTGGCAAAACACCCAAGGCCCAGGCTTACCCTGGGAGACTTAAGGGTCAGGGATCTAGCACTCATGTTTACATTCAATATTGTCTCATCTGTTTCCTGCACCCCCGTCCTACCTCGCACCTGACAGCACACTTTGTGGACCTCCCCTGTAAACATCCTCCATAGCTAGTTTACAACTATTTTTCTAAATAACAGACCAGCCTTGACATCTATCCCCAGTTTAAAACCTTGCTACAATTACCCTTACAAGACAGCCTGCATTCCTTACCCAGGCAGCTTTTTGCAGTAACTCCAGCCTTCTGGCAACAGAGGCACTTACCAGAGTAAGAGTAAGCCAGCTCTCACTCTCCTGGCCTTTTTTCCAGCTGCTTGTAATGCCTGCCTGCCTGCATCCCTGTCAGCCTACACTTCCCCAGAGGCACTTTGATGGCACAATAGGCACACCCCAAGAAGCTGTCTCCCCGAGGGCAGAGATTTTCCTTTTCATCTTAATTCCAAACACAAGATGCACAATAAACTGGAATAAAAATGCCAAGGAAGCTTAAAAGTCACTTCATATTTCTCTAATAATTTTATCAGATATCCTATCAGACACTGAGCACCCTTCCCTTTAACCCTCACAAAGGTGCAGACACACAGGAGGTGGACACGGCCATCCCCTCTAACAAGGCAGCTGTGAAGAGACGTGCCCTCTCTCAGTCTGCAACCCCTCAGAGAGCACCTTTCTCCCCAAGGACTCCCAGGCTGGCAGCCCCACTCACCTGCTTCATCTTGGCCAGCTCTCTCCTGGTATGCTCATCTTGCCTCAGGTCCTTCTTGTTCCCCACTAGGATGATGGGCACATTGGGGCAAAAGTGCTTCACCTCCGGGGTCCACTTCTCAGGAATGTTTTCTGCACAGGCATGTTCCAACAGGTGTCAATGTCTCCACTTAGGCTAGAGAGCTCCCGTGGGGCCCCTCATCTTCCCACAGCAGTCTTAGGGGCTACTCAGTGTGACTGTTCCTTTCATAGCTCAAAACCCCTCATAGTGCACCCTTAGCCAGCCCTCCAAAGTTGGTTACCACAGCAACTCAACAGCATCCTGCCCTGTACCCCCACTGCATTTGAGGAAGACAGGCAAAGGCAAGAGGCCTCAGGTGATCCCAAGAGGTTCTCAATCCCCTCCTTCCAGTGTCCTCACCCAGGCTGTCAGGGCTGTCAATGGAGAAGCACATGAGAATGACATCCGTGTCTGGGTAGGAGAGAGGCCGCAGGCGATCATAGTCTTCCTGCCCTGCTGTGTCCCACAGAGCCAGCTCCACCTGACACACAGGGCAATGAGTAGCTAGCCTGTGGGCCCCAACCCTGCCACCCAGAGGTCCACTCTGAAGCAACCAGTCCTTCAGCCTCATCGAACGTCTCTACTGAGCACCTGTCCCCAACCCTGCCACCCAGAGGTCCACTCTGAAGCAACCAGTCCTTTAGCCTCATCGAATTTCTCTACTGAGCACCTGTCATACACCAGGCATTGTATTTATCACTGTCACACAAATTAGGTCAAATTAGAGTTGTTTATTTTTTGCAACACAGTTTTACTGTGTCAGCCAGTGTAGAATACCATGGCATCATAGCTCACAGCAACCTCAAACTCTTGGGCTCCAGCAACCCTCCTGCCTCAGTCTCCTGAGTAGCTGGGACTACAGGTGCCACCATGCCAAGCTAATGTTTCTATTTTCAGTAGAAACAGGGTCTCACTCCTATTCAGGCTGGTCTCAAATTCCTGAGTTCAAGCAATCCACCCAGCTAGGTCTCCCAGAGTGCTAGGATTACAGGCATGAGCCACTGCGTCCAGCCAAATTTGGTTTAAAAAAAAAAAAAAACCTAAGATGTCTTTGAGCTCTGTGAAGTATAGGAATTTGTGAGCACCATTATTTTGGTTAATCCTTACAACATTCTGAGGAAGTGTTAGCAGAACCCAGTTACGCAGCTGAAGGAATTTCGGCCCGAATCAAGAGTTAAGTATGTGGCAGCCCTTCTACCAGAGAGCAGAGCCAGGTTTCCTAAGACTAAAATTTCACTTCCTAACTTTCACTGCTCCTAGCAGGGAGAATGAACCAAGGATATGGGTGGGTAGGGAAGGATGCACTAGGCCCCTAAGTGATCCAGGGCAGGAGCTGGGGAGGGCTCTTCGCATTCACCTGCTTGCCGTCCACCTCGATGTCTGCAATATAGTTCTCAAAGACAGTAGGGACGTAGACCTCTGGGAACTGATCCTTGCTGAAGACGATGAGAAGGCAGGTCTTCCCACAGGCACCGTCCCCCACGATAACCAGCTTCTTTCGGATCGCAGCCATGGCTGGGGCTGGCAGGCATAAGCAGTGAGGATTCAGGGAAAAACCAGGAAGCTCAAAATCATTTCTCTAGGATCCCCCAAACCTGTGGAAACCAAGGGATCCAGCAAAGGGAGGAAAGGGGGCTTGCTCAGGCATGTTTTCGTCAAGGACCAATTGTGCAGGCAACAGAACTTGAAATTCCTAATGCCTGGGTCTGGACAGGTCTCCCTGGATGGGCTATAATACAGCAGTGGGAGATGAGAGAAGAACCCACTTGGGAGCCAGAAAACGAGTTTCGATCTAATCCAGGCATCCTCAAACTACGGTCCATGGGCCACATGCAGCCCATCCAGGACATTTATCTGGCCCACGGTGTGTTTTTGCCGCCACTGCCTATCCTGCTTAGCAGCCGACTCGTCCCAGGGCCCATAGTCCAGCCCCCCAACGGTCAGAGGGACAGTGAACTAGCCCTCTGTTTAAAAAGTCTGAGGACCCCTGAAATCCATTCACCAACCGGGGGACTGCAAGCTACCTAGAGAAATGCCCAGGGATCAGGGACATGGCCAGAAGAACTAACTTTTATCTACTTCATATGTTAGGATTTCAAGTCGGACTTCATTTGTTACCAGGATTTTGATGCATTTATTTATTTGTTTATTTTTGAGACAGTCTCACTGTGTCGCCCTTAGTAGAGTGCTGTGGCATCTGAGCAACCTCAGACTCTTGAGCTCAAAACGATTCTCTTGCCTCAGCCTCCCTTGTACCTGGGACTACAGGCACCCACCACAACGCCTGGCTATTTTTTTGTTTGTTTGTTCTAAGCAAGTTTGAGCCAGTTTGAACCCACCAGCCCCAGTGCATGTGGCTGGTACCCTAACCAATGAGCTATGGGCACCAAGCCGATTTTGATGCATTTAAAGTTTAATAATTTCAAACGTCCAATCTAGAACAGACTGTCCCTCAGCACAAGTCACACCTGCCCAGTCATCAATGATGAGTCCCCTCTCCAATACCACAGACTAGTGGCCCAGCTACCAGGTGGTGGATGGGTCAGGCAAAGAATACTTAATGCTATTTTGGGCATTATGACAGAAATTATCTCTCTAGACACCATTTTGACAGCCTGGGAAACAAAGGCTTAGTGAAGTTAAGACATGTATTCAGGGTCATGTCACCTAAACAGCCAGAAAGCACTCAAAGCAGGCCTGAGTGACTAAAGTCTGTCCCTTTTCTACACATCAGCCCAGAAGCAGGAAGGAGAGCAGAAGCAGGGAAACCCAACAGAGGACAGTGGCAGCAGCCAGCCAGCTTCCCTGGCCCACCCCACCTGGCCCCCAAAGCCCCAAGCCACACAAAGGAGGCTCAGTCCCTGCAGTGCCCATAGCTCCCATTCGGGCAGTCTGCCCTCCTCCCCCCTTCCTCCTGGGCCTGGAAGCAACACTGGGTCACTCAGCTCCTGGCAGGGGACAATGACCACACTGTACGAAGCCACACATCCACCAGAGCAGAGTGACAGAATAATCCACTAGGGAATCACCTCCACCCACTCTCTGGAACAGCCCCTTTCTCCCTCCGTCCAGCTCACCCAAATGCCCTGCCCACCCCTCCCTGTGACTCAGGGCAAGGAGTCAGCTTCCCCGGCTTTCCGTGTGTCCCCCGCCCCGTAACACACATGAACAAGCATCTGTCCAGTTCATCACACCTTTGGTGCTTCCCTCACTTCCTCCTTCCCTGGGGAGGGAGCAGACCTCCAGGCGGCTGAAGTTCCCAGGCCTAGAGCCGGAGAGGAAGAGAGGGCGGGCTCTGGGGCTGAGAGGGAGTCAAGGCTGTTGGGACGGGGGAGGGGGTGAAAGCCTGGGCTGGGAGGAGCCCCAAAAGGAGAGAAAAATGAGGGCCAGGCACAGCACCAACCAGACAGGGAGCAGTTAAGAAGGGGACCGTAACCTGATCTCTGCCCTAAACCTGGCTTTTTCCCTCAGTCCCACATCCTGTCAAACTGGGCTGAACTCTACTCCCCGCATACCAACACCACCTCACAGCCCAGCCTCGGACTGCGTTTCAGGAGGGAATACTCTAGCCCAAGGCTAGTTCTCCGCAACAGAGGGATTCCAGGCGGCCTCTCCCTGCCCTCCACCCCCACCCCCATATACACACACTCACAAAACTGGGATGTGGGGAAGTGGACATGAGTCAGAGAGAACTGATAGGAGTTCACAGCTACATTCTCCCCCATCACAAAAGGGGCTCTTCCTGATGTCCTAAAAGACACTCAAAAGGCATTTTTCCTGCCAGTAGATTCCCTGCAAAAATGGAAACCATCCTCCGAAAAGGGATCCTTTGGGAATTCTACCCAGGTGACTGACACTAGGATTTCTTCCAACTCCCTCACCCACTCCCATTAGTTCAGCTAGTCCTACTGTATAAAGACAGGTGGAGAAGTCCCAGCCTGGGGTGAGCAGTGCTGATAGAAGGCAACCGCTACTAGTGTCCGTACCAGCCACTGAGGCATAACTATGCCACTGCTAGCCCCCAGCAGGGCAGTTTGGGTGGCCCCAAATGGGTGGAGGCAGAGGCCAGAATTCTGAGTCAGGGGTGTGAATTAAGGGACCTGAAGCCTCCAGCTCAATTAGAAGACTTTCCTTCCAGGCTCTCGTTGGGCAGAAGAGCAAGCAGCCCAGGCCAGGACAGGACACTAGGCCCAAGGCCAAGATGGCATTGACAACTCTCTGCAAGAGGTAGCCCCAGAGGAACTGTCCCACTGACCCTAAGAGGAGCTACCAAACCCCACACTGGACCTGAGGTGAATCCTGAAACTTCAGGGGCCTTCTGCAAGACAAAACACTGGATACACCAGACCTCTCTTCAGTCATTCTCTGGACTTCCCAGATAAGCCAGAGGGGCTAACCGATACCACCCCGGGTCCTGAGATCTAGGGAAGGAATCAGTCCTCAGGAAATCACTCATCCTCAACTTTAAAACCATAAATGAGAGCTGGATTCAGCCTAGGATCTCCCAGCCCAACCCCCTAAACTCCGAATAATCTTATCTTGCCTCTTTAGACAATGTGAAGAGAGAAATCGGTCGCTCGCTCTCTCTCTCTCTCTCTCTCTCTCTCACACACACACACACACACACACACACACAGACATGGGAGCTTTCCCGATCTTCCTTAACCCATAACACAGGAAGGCTCCAAGAACCGTCTAGGGCGGCCCCCGCCGAGCAGTGGAAGCACCGGCGGTCACATCCCGCCCCTATTCCCGCCATTCCACCATCCTGGCCTGGGGAATTCCCATCTCCACTTCACTCCAGGTCCACTTCGGGCCGCCAGGCCTGGGAGCTACAGAATTTGGGCTCAGGCTCCCTCGCGGAGGTCCAAGTCGCCCCCTAGTCCCTCTCCCGGCGGGACAGGTTCCGGGAAGCCGGGAAGGGCAGGGAAGGAGGTCTGCCTCGGACCCTAGGAGACCAAAGCCTGCCCAGCGGTTCCGCGGGCCCCTAGCTACTACCCGGGGAGGAGCCGACCCGGCTGGACCCCAGCACAGCCCGGACGCCGCGTCCAAGGGAAGGGAACGCGGCCCACGCCCGGGCCAAAGCCCCTTCCCCAGTAGCGTCCCGAGCTCGGGGAGAGTGGAGAGGAGAAAGTGCTCTCCGGGGGCGAGTTCCCAGGACGCCCCGCCGCCCATAGCCCCGGCCCAGGGTACCTTCCGCTCCGCCACCTCCAGCTGCGCGGCCGGTGCCCGAGGCTGAGACTGACCCCGGGGGCCCCGCCCCGTCCTCCTGCGCGGCTGCGGGGAGGGGCGGGCCCGGCAGGGGGAGGGTCGGCCCGGGGGCGGCCCTTGCCTCGGCCCGCCCATGGCCCCCGCCCCGGGGAGCTGCGGCTCGCCCCAGCAGCAGGCCACAGGTCTGGGGCACCGCCCACCCATTGAGAAGAGTCTCGGGGACATTCCTGGACTGCGGCGGGGCCAGGCGAGCGCACCCGCGGGTGGGACCCCTAGGACTCAGCCTCTACCCCGCCTTCCAGCCCCTAGGGGAGGACCGGCGTCGGGAAAGTTGAGAGGCTTTCAGGGTGGGGTCAGGAAGAGCCGCTGCTGCCCTCCTGTGGCCAACCCGACGCCGCTCCTGCCCCACTCGGGACCTGGCGGGAAGCAGGGTGGGGAAGGGCTGAGGGTGCCCAAGATAGAATGGTTCTCAACCTTCCTAATGCCGTGACTCTTTAATACAGTGCCCAACCATAAAATTATTTTCGTTGCGACTTCATAACTGTGATTTTGCTACTGTTATGAATCTTAATGTAAATATCTCATATGCAGGAGACCCCCAAAGGGGTCGAGACCCACATCATATGTTATAGAATCATCCCCCAGCCGTTCAGAACCGTTCAGATCCAGACCATAGTTCCACCTCACAATTCCCATTCTTCTCTGGCCTGGAATTATCTCAAGTCTAATTCTACCTACTCATCAAAGGGCTCTTGTGGAAATGCTTCCCAATCCCCAGCTGGGAATTTGATTCCCACTCCCGTTGTATCATTTCTGTATGGTTACGGACCCTTAGCCCAGTCTGACTTGGCATAGGATATTTACCTGAACCTATGTCTTCTTGCCTATAAAGTTGCCGAGGAAGCGAATGTAGATTAGGAAATCTGCCAATGTTTCATTGGCTTGTGCTGGGGACACTACATAAGTCAACCCTTTAATACGCATCACAGATCTTTGGGGTAAGTATACTCGGTCCCTTTTGCTTGTAAGGCAAATGAGTTCAGATAACTTAAGTGGCTTGCACCAATGTTTTGAGATTTCTAAGTGACAGACCAAAATTTTGTCAAGTCTGTCTCCAAAGTTGGTGGTCTCTCCCTGCTGCCCCCCTTCCCCCACTGTCCAGCACAGTGTGTAGCACATAACAGGTTTTGTTTTGTTTGCGGTTTTGGGGGGTTTTTTTGAGACAGAGTCTCAAGCTGTCTCCTTGGGTAGAGTGTCGTGGCCTCATAGCTCACAGCAACCTTCAACTCGTGGGGTCAAGTGATCCTCTTGCCTCTGTTTTTCTATTTTTAGTAAAGACAGGGTCTTCCTTTTGCTCAGGCTGGTCTCAAACTCCTGAACTCAGGCAATCCACTCGCCTCAGCCTCCCAGAGTGCTAGGATTACAGGCATGAGCCACTGTGCCTGGCCAGCACATAACAGGTATTTTTTGTTTGTTTGTTTTTTGAGACAGAGGCTCATTGCCCTGGGTAGAGTGATGTGGCATTACAGCTCACAGCAACCTGGGCTCAAGCAATGCCCTTGCCTCAGCCTCCCAAGTAGCTGGGACTATAGGCGCCCACCACAACACTTGGCTATCTTTGTTGTTGTTGTAGTAGTTGTCATTGTCTTTTCTTTTCTTTTTTTTTTTTGCAGTTTTTGACCAGGGCTCGGTTTGAACCCGCTACCTCCGGCATATGGGGCCGGCACCCTACTCCTTTGAGCCACAGGCACCGCCCCTGTTGTAGTTGTCATTGTTGTTTGGCAGGCTGGGGCTGGATTTGAACCCGCCAGCTCTGGTGTATGTGGCTGGGGCCTTAGCCCCTTGAGCTATAGGGGCCAAGCCACATAACAGGTTTTTGATAAATATTCGATGAATGAACGTTAAAAGTCATATAGCCTTTAAAGATCTGAAGTGCAACCCAGATATTTGATAAATAAGGAAACTGGGGTACACAGCATTTTGGTCCCCAGGCCTCCTAATAAACCTTGATTGAGTATAAACTGAAAGCTTTGTGATAAAGATCAATTTCTGCCTTCAAACAATTTATGGTTTAAATGAGGAATACAATTTCAAGAGAGATGACATTTACTGAACCCTTATCACATGGACCTGGCTCTACATATATTATCTACAACAGCCCTATGAGGTAGTACCGTTCTATCTCCATTTTGCCAATAAGCAAATTGAGTCTCAGAGAGCTCACAGAGCTAGTTTTGGGTCTGGCACCAGAACTTGAACAGCTGGACTCTAGCGTCCCTGCTCTTAACTGTTACTGGCTATTGACTCCTAATATAAAGAGTTCTAACCTGAGGAGGCCATTTCTGTGGTGGGGCATGCATGGGCTGAGGACAAGTGAAGTGTTCAAGATAAGGTGATGTGTAGATTATAATAAGAAGCTGGAGCTACTAGGAGGGTGGTGATAATAGCAGTGAAAAATGGAGCTGGAGGAAGAAGCAGTAGCCAGACCATTAAGGTCCTCATATGCCACGCTCAGGAGTTCAATGTCGATTTTTCTCTGGGTACAATAAGGAGTCACTGAAGTTAGGAGGATGACATAATAAATAACTAAGCTGGTGACAGTGGGAGTAGAGAGGAGGCAAATAAAATATATTTTTTAAGATATAGAATTTGCGGCTCAGCGCCTGTGACTCAAGCGGCTAAGGCACCAGCCACATACACCTAAGGTGGTGGGTTCAAATCCCCAGCCCCGGGCCCGCCAAACAACAATGATGGCTGCAACCAAAAAATGGCCAGGCGTTGTGGCGGGCGCCTGTGGTCCCAGCTACTTGGGAGGCTGAGGCAGGAGACTCGCTTGAGCCCTGGAGTTGGAGGTTGCTGTGAGCGTGATGCCATGGCACTCTACCCAAGGGGGATAGCTTGAGGCTCTGTCTCAAAAAAAAAAAGATATAGAATTTGCGGCTCAGCGCCTGTGACTCAAGCGGCTAAGGCACCAGCCACATACACCTAAGGTGGTGGGTTCAAATCCCCAGCCCCGGGCCCGCCAAACAAAAATGATGGCTGCAACCAAAAAATGGCCAGGCGTTGTGGCGGGCGCCTGTAGTCCCAGCTACTTGGGAGGCTGAGGCAGGAGACTCGCTTGAGCCCAGGAGTTGGAGGTTGCTGTGAGCGTGATGCCATGGCACTCTACCCAGGGGGATAGCTTAAGGCTCCGTCTCAAAAAAAAAAAAAAAAGAATTTGCTACACTTTGTGATCCATTAGCTTGATAAGGAAGAAATAAAAGCCACAGGTGAGCAATTCTAAGATTTCTTTATATATATATGTACTTTATGTATTTCTCTTGCCTTAGCCTCCCAAGTAGCTGGGACTACAGACACATGCCACAACACCCAGCCATTTTTTTGGTTGCTATTGTCATTGTTTTAGCTGGCCCAGGTTGGGTTCGAAACTGCCAGCTTTGGTGTATGTGGCTGGTGCCTTACCCACTGAGCTACAGGCACTGCCCAATTCTAAGATTTGTAACTTGAGCAGTGGAGCTAGTGAACATTGAAAAGATGAACCAGGAGAACACGTTATGGGGAAACGGTGAAATCCATGTACGGTATGTTGAGTCGAAGAGTCAAAGAGCTGCCTGGGAAATGTTGGGGGGAACTGGAATGTATAGGTCCAAAGCTGAGGGAAGTCTGGGCTGGTAACACCAACTTAAAAGACATGAGCAGATGGATGATGCCGTAGTCAATGAGAACAGTCCTAGCAAGTGCATGGGGTGAGAGGAGTGGAAGGCAGAAAAAATAACCTGGAAATACCACATTTTTCGGATTGTGCTGATGTTCTTTTTACCACCCACAGTGTTTTTCCTTATCTTTTGGCTTCTAATCAAAGCAAATAAAGACACACATCTTTATCCATCCAGTTTATTTGCCAGTAGCTATCATTTTGGGTCTAGTGTGGACATCCTTTCACTTAAATTGCCACTGGAGAAAGGTCAGAAAGAAAACTTCAGAACTGTTATTGGTAGAGGGCTGGGTGGTTGTATGGAGGGCTGGGATGATGATGGAAGATATGGGGCCAAGCGCCTCAGGAATAACTGCCTGGCCCTCCCAGGGGGATGATGAAGACTGAGATGTCATCCCCGGAACCCAGCTTGTTGTTGGAGAGACGCCAACCACGTTCCTGGGGGGTGCCCCGGGCCCCCAGGACCAGAGCCTGGGCCAGGGCTGTATACCTGCCAGGAGCACATGTGCACATTCATGTACCATCATGTATATGTGAAGATAGATACACAGACCCACATGTGGGTCCCCGGGCATTGCTTCCCTTTACCCCTTCCTTCACCAGTGCCATCCCCTCACCACCATGTAATGCAACCCCTACCTGCCGGGATCATTGGGCTCATAGGCTGACAGCACTCTGTCCACAGTGGCGGCTACCTCACCATCACTGGTGACATCCCACAGGCCGTCTGTTCCCAGAACTAGCACATCATCTGGGCAGTGCTCGTACTGTGTCAGGTCATATATGCGTACCTGGTGGGGAAAGAGTAGAGGGGATTGCCATGTAGGTTTGGTGGACAGGGAGCTAAGAGTTAAAAGCTATCCAGAGACTCCCAGAGGAGGGAAGGTGTGGTTAAGGGGGGCCCCATGAGGCTCACCTCAGGGAAGCAGGAGAGGAAGGGCTTGATGTGTAGGTTAGAACTGCAGACCTTAAGGTTGTGGTCTCCCAAGCCCCGGGTCACCCCAATGGTGGCCATTACTCGAGCCTACAGGAAACAAGAAGTGGGTGTTGCTATAGACCGTCCTAGACTCCTAGAGATCACAGACCCCTCCCATTCCTACCCTCAGGTAGAACCTCCACCTCCCTAGACAAGTTGTGGTGGGTCCTGCCCTCTCCCACCTCTACCATGGAGTTTACCTTTTTGCCCTCCCCACAGACCAGAGGACACCTGAGATCCTCCAGCTCGATCTTTTTGTAGGCCCTGGGGAGGGGGAGTAGAGGAGGCATCACCCAGGCATCAAAGCCCCCTCCCATAGGAGCTACACACCCTCACACAAACCCCTTAGGGCCACATCCCCCCAACTTCCAGCCTGGCCCAGACTCCAGCTTC